ATCCGCCCTTCTCCTTGCCCCGGGGCCCACACACACGGCCCACCCTCTCCGCCCCTCTCCTCGCAGCTTGTGAAGCAGAGACATCCAGGCCCCGACCCCATGAGCTGACTTCTCCAGACTAGCCCCTCAGATCACCAATATCACCCCACATCACCCATGTTGACCGACATCAACTGCAACTTCACGAAAGCTCATCCTCGCCAATGGCCTCTCGTACATCATCATATTTAGTCCTCTCTTAAATGCCCCCGTGGCAGGGGTATTGTCGCCCACCTCACAGTCGGAAAACTGAGGTTCCGAAGAGTTAGATAACCAGCCTGAGGTCAGGGAGTGGGTACAAAGGAGTCAGGATTTGAACTGGAAGGTCTGCTCTTCACCACCCTGCCCTGCGCATCCAGGCCTTTCTCCCCTCGTGCCCTCAACTCCCCGGACTGGGTACCACGCTATAGCCAGGGCCCATTTGACTCCTCCCCGCCGCCAGCCCAAGTTCTCTGACTCAAAAGTGACACCTATCCCTGGGGCCTAGAGCCCGAGACTTGGCTGGCTCTCAATGCCAACAATCTTAAATTGTCTCCTTAACAATACCTGGCCAAACTGGCGTTCATGGCAGGCTCCCTCCGCGCTCAGCTTCCAGTTACCGCGTTTCCCACTCTCACATGAAGTCCTCAATTCCTCCACCGCACAGACTAGCAACAGTGCCTCCTCTCTCCAGCGACCAAGTGACCAACTTCTACTGAGCCGGGACCAGGCCGATCCCTCTCTTGGTGGGCTCCACCCTGGCAAGACTGACCGACGTCCCCCGCACAGAAAGACTCAACACTGCCGTTCATCTACGAAGCGACTTTCCAACTTGAGCTCTATACGCAAAACACACACACTCCTCCAGCTGCCCCTTCCGACACTAATCTGACCTCCAGGGAACCCAGAATCGGCAGACTTGCTCCCTCTCCCAACGTCTCAAGCCAGCAAACTTCTTCCGGCTCCTACTTTCTACCGACCAGCAACTCCAAATCCCTAACTCTTTCTCAAGGCGGGGAGGGGGGAGAAAAATTTTAAAAAGAGACCCTTCTAGAGCCAGGCCCCAAAATTCCTCTGCTCCTTAATGGCTGATCATGTTTTGCTTCACTTTTGGGCGAGAGCAAAAAAGGCATGCAGTGACTTTTCTTCTTCTTAATGCCAAGATCCAACACCTCCTCCGACTACCTCGTCCACCCCCAAAGTGACCACCAACTCTGCTCCTTTTCTGGGAAGCTGTTTAGCTTGACTCCCTTTTCCCAACCTCAGGTTTTACCAACTCCTCCACAGCCACAGTCCCGCTGGTTTATTCT